ACCCACTAATTTTGGCGCTTGAAACAAAACTCAGAAATCTCTGTAAATTACATTAAGACTCTGATTCAAAACAGCAGCCATAAAACAATAACAAGACAACTTAATAGCTAAAGGAGATACAATAAATGCGAAATGCCTCAATGACTCTATTAAAAGTTTCTAAAATAAATCTTTTAAAATTGTTTGTAATATTTTTCCTATGACATAAATTTCCAAGCCATTTCCATTATGTGTTCATTAGGATTTTCATATAAGCAAATGGATGTTTTATGGCTTAAAGCATGGAACACTTAGCCAAAAGAAACACTGTGTGTTCTCATATGTGAATTAGGGCAGTTAAACTTTATACGTAACTTTTATAATTGTACCCTGGTTAAATATTATGCAGTTTTTCTAAGGCCTTCCGGTGAAAACAATAAGCTAGCATGAAACCTGATTAAGGTGTGCATATTTCTAATGCTGAGTCATAGATATGGTAAGAAGGAAATTAGTATGGCATGACTAGACTTACATGTAAGCAGAAATCATCTGACTAATAAAAATAAATTGATGATTGTCTAGGCAGTATTTGGACTAACCAAAAGATAAAACTCAGTATGGTAATTACCAAAGGAAAAAGGGGGTGGAGGGAGGTAGAAGAGGGTAGAGGGTGTAGAAATGATGATGGAAGGAGATTTGACTTGGGGTGGTAAACATACAATACAACATACAGATGATGTATTATAGAATTGTATTACCTGAAACTTGTATAATTTTATTAACCAATGTTACCCCAATAAATTCAATAAAAAAGTTTTTTAAAAAGCTAAAACTATGTTTTTCTAGATAAGAATGTCATTAAACAGTCAAATTAGCAATGTTGTTGATATTTGTCAATAATAGGCCTGCATGGTAAGCTTTTCTTTAACCATTTAAAGAGATAATTAAACATTCTTCAGTGGCAAAAACTGAATATCCTAGAGGTCAACCTGGCAAAAATAAAGCCTCTGGTTTGTTTGATTGCTTGTTCTTTTTTTTTTTTTAATCCTCACCCCAGCACACTTTTTTTCCCATTTATCTTCAGATAGAGTAGGAGAGAGAGAGAAAAGAACATTGACGAGGGAGAGACACATGGATTGGTTGCCTCCTTCTCGACCCCAACCAAGTCCAGGACCGAACCTCAACTGAGGTATGTGCCCATGACTGGAATCGAACCTGCAACTCTTCAGTCGACGGGGCCAATGCTTAACCACTGAGCCAAACCACCCAGGGCTGTTTGTTTGTTCTTTTCTTAAAAATATGTTTTTATTGACTTTTTAGGAAGAGAGAAAGGGGGAGAGAGAGAGAAACATTGATGTGAGAATCAATCGGCCTCCTCTAGCACCCCGCCCCCTCCCGGGGACCAAGCCCGCAACCCGGGCGTGTGCCCTGACCGTCAATCAAACCGGGATTCCTCAGTCCATGGGACAATGCTCAGTCCACTGAGTCACACTGGCCGGGCTGTTTATTCCTTTTTAATTTGATTTTCGGTGTCTTCCATGAAAATAAAACATTACTCAAGAATTTAAAAGTAGAACGGCTCATATCTGCACTGACAGGATAGAGGCGCAGCCAGTGATTAGCACACCACCTGCCCTGCCTCCAACCCAGCCACACTGAGCAACTGTCCGCTCTCAGGCCATTGCACACCACCCTCCCTCAGAAACGCCCAACTTGACTCTGCCTGGCAGCTGGCAATCATCTTGCAATACCAATCTCTAAGAACAGTGAAAATGTCTCTTATTCTCTAACACCTTCCTGATCCTACTACAGCACTCCTTCCTCTACATCCCTATTTTTATTTCCATTGCAATAGATTCATCACCCTAGATCATAGTCAGTTTCATGAACATTCTCCCAATGGACAGAACAACACACTTCATTTTCTTAGTATCTCTGGATCTAGCCCATGGTGGCTAATGATATAGAACCACTGTGTTGACAATTCTTACCTTCAGCCAGCCTGATTAGAAAAGAAATTCAATTTGTGGCACTCATAACAGGTAGTTTAGAAGTAAATAAACTGGTCTTCTTAAATTACTTCCCTTGTTTATGTAAAATATATAGAGAGGGGCGAAAAAAGCCCAGTCACTTTGAGAGAGAATGATTATCACTGCTATAAATAGCCTTATATCTTGGCATAACCAGGAAAATCATTCTAATCTTTAATTCTCATAGTGCTAAGAAAAGTCATTTCATCTAAATAAAGGAACATTTACCAAAACATTGATGTGTTTCATTTTAAATAGATCTTGGTCTAATTTTTTAAAACTGATGATAAAAATTCAACAGCCATTATCTTGTAATTCAGGTCCTAAAATATACTGGATTCCATAATACAGGCTACAGGATCCTATTAGAAGCAAAACTTCTTTTTAGTTCTTCTGTGGCTGGTCCTCCTCTCTCTTCCAAAGACACCTGAAACTCAAAGGGCTTTCTTGATATATAATTCTTTTTGAATGACCTTTCACTTAAATTTCCTCAAACTCAAGGTCTAAACATACTACTTCTAATTCACAACCATTTACTGACATTTTGGTCCATTATTTATTCTGGTTTCTGCTCCCAGTAGCTTGGGAGTATTTTCTCCATGGTCTCCAATGTCTGCCTTGTACACAAAGCTGTTAACCTGTACTCAGTCCTAAAGTTCTCACGATCCCTAACAACATTTGGTACTGCCCACTGTTCCTTTCTACCTGAAATTGTCTTCCCTTGATTTCATTAACACTACATTTCCTTGTTGTTTCACCCATGCATCAGATTTCCTTTTCTGTATCCCCAAATGGATCTCCTTCTTCCTGAACCCCAATCATGGGCCTCCCCCCAAGTTTATGTCCTTTGCTCACTCTCCATGTATGCTCACTCTCCATGTATGCTCCTCTCTTGGGGTCCTCTAAAGACCCCTTGTCTCTGATAGATTCAATGGCCACTTCTACACTGGTAATTCCCAAGTTTATCTGCACTTTTAACTTCTCAGCTTAGCTCTACTCACAAATGGACGGGATGTCTCACTATGCCATTGAACCCACTAGGTCTTTGGTTTTTCCCTTACCATCATACCCATTTCTCTCATTAGTTTGGTTTTGGTTGGTTGGTTGGTTGGTTGGTTGGTTGGTTGGTGTTGGTGTGCTTTTTCTCCCAGGCTGAAAGTTTAAAGTCATATTTTTCCTTCATCCTCTATTCACTGTCACCAAGTCCTTTTCTTTCTTCCTTCAAAATGTCATCTCTTGGATTCAATTTTTCATCCTGATCTGGAGTCTTGGCCTTTATCTCTCTATGCAGAGATCACTACCTCAGCTTCTTAGATTATCTCCCTGACTATGGACTCTGCTCATTTCTATTTCTTTTACATAGAATTGATTATTTTTCAGGTTCAGAGTGACTAAGTGACTTATTCAGTGCCATCGCAGCCATAAGTAAAAGAGCCAACAACGAAATTTAGCTCTGCCTCTCTCCAAAACCTGAGTGTTTTCCCACTGCCCCCTGGGATTTACTCTGACATTCAAAGCAGAGCCTGTCACCAGCTTATTCAGTAATGAAGTGATTGGGTCTCTGTCCCCATAGGCCTCTAACCCTCCAAAGTGGGGTTCTTGCAGTTTCAACCCTAGTAAAAGTTAAGGGACCTGATCCACTTGGGGCTAATTAAAGAATCCCTGAGAAAGCAGCCAAGGAACTCCATGTGGAATAAGCGTTTTGCCAGTTCTACCGAGTCTTTACCCAATTCTGGTAACAAGTTCTGGCTCCATGCCCAAATTCCTGTCTTGGTTTAGTGCCCAGCATCTTGGGTCCCCTGAGGATGGAGTCCTCTATAAAGGGAAACCTTCAGGGTCCTGCCTCTAGTTCCTGTTACTGGATCTCCCTGATCTCAGTGCCCAGCTGAGTGGACATTCCCCTGTATTAGTCGCCCTATAGTCTGGCCGCCTCCCACCTGGTTACCTCGGTCTCCTGATACCTGAGTCTGCTCCTCGGATTTCTGGTTGCTGCAACTTCGCTCAACTGCCTGTTCAGAACCTGGAACCCACCTACACTCTACTTCCTGCCGCAATCCATACCTGTCAGATTTACCCTGTTCCCAAATGAGCCCCAGGTGCATCATTTTCCACCATTCCCTTACAAACTCTACGTCCCAGTCAAATTTTTTAAAAATAAGAAAGAAATCTAACTCCTTGCAAAATCTGGTTCAAAACCTCAGCTCCTTTCTACAGCTGGCAAGCTCTCCCTCCTCTCTCCAGGGGGCGGCACAGGGGGCAAGCAGTGAGATGTGCCGTGTGCCACCGTCACCAGGCCCCGTGCGGCGCGCAGAACACTGCGAGCAGGCATCGGGTTCATAAACCAGAGCAAGTTCCAGAACTAGGACTCAGCTCTTCCAATGAAGATGACTTTTTAAAAAATGTATCAGTTTACAAAAGCTGAAAATCAAAATCAGCCCTCAAGTTTGTTAAATAATAATTCACAGTTAATAAATTTTTATTTATTTACATTTACTCTCTTCAAATCCAGTTGGAAAAAGTACAGCTCTACACAAAACTTGAATACTAACTCAGGAGATGGCTTTATCATGATTATACTGCCATCTAGTGTCTGTCAATAAGAGAAAAATGTTTGCATCGTCAAGAAACCGTAATATCAATGAAAAGCATTCTAAATTACAGATTGAGTAATAATATTTTCATATATCTAAATCAGGTAATACTTTACAATAAACAAAAAAAAATATGTCTGCATTCAAGTAAAAAGAATCTTGTCATCCAACTCCGAGATTACGAGCATTGTCCGAAAAACAATTAAGAACAAGAAATGTGGTACCAGGTTCACAAGTAGTTATTTGAAAGGAATAATACAAATATATCATTTAAGAAAAGAAGCCTAAAATTTATTTTCATCCATAGGATATGAATGCATAATTCACCTTTGATGTGAACCATTTGAAAACTAGCAATAAGAGGCTAAAAGAAATGACAATCAAGAACAAGCAAGCTTACCTGAAAGTGCAAAATTATTGTCCATATTAATCCCAATGTCAATTTGGGATTTCCATCTGTTATGTCATCATTTCTAATATTCACTAATTTCACCTGTTTTATAAGTGAAGAAGAGATAAAACAAACTATTTTTCAAACCATCAAATGACTTATCTTTACCTACATAAAAGTGATTCTAAATTATACAAAGAAAAAAATACTGAATGATTTAAATATTAGCAATCCTCAAACTATTGTTTTACCCCCTATCTTCATTCATTTTAGATTGCAAGCTATAAAGTATCCACAAAGAATAGTGGATATTATTTTGGTTTTTTGTCTTCTAAATCAAGTAATAAAACTGCTCATTTGTCAAAACAAAAATACAACTCAAGTGAGAAGTCTTACATATTTGCGATTTTTAAAATTGGAAATTTGTCTTTTGAAAATAAGCTTTATTTTACAGTTAAGTAGGAAACTGTTCAGAACCATAAAATAATTTTTATGTATTTATTTATTTTATTGATTTGAGAGAGAGAAATGAGAGAGAGAAATATTGATGGATCAGCTGCCTCCTGCATGACCCCCACTGGGGATCTGATCCACAACCTGGGCATGTGCCCTGACCGAGAATTGAACCCACGACCTCTTGATGCATGGGTCGACGCTCAACCACTGAGCCACTACAGCAGGGCATAAAATAATTTTTAAAACTTTCTCACACTACCTTCACAAAGGGTTGAATAAAAATTAGAATTATTTTTCTATTTCTCTAAAACAAACTGTTAGCAAGATAAGGACATACATGAGTAGCTAGACATTTGGAAGGCTGTTCAAATTTACATATATATATCAGACTTAAAGCTTATTAACTGCCATATTATGCATTCAGGTAAATAAATGTAATGATGACATCTAAAGTTTACCTCCTGGATTGTCAAAAAAAATTAAATATCATAAATTGAATACCCAAAATTAAATACAATAATATCTAACATTTTCCTTCATAGACAAAATACTGCCCAAAACATTTCATATAAGAGATATAAGTAGCCATTAATCCTTCTGGAAACTTCCACTAGAATTAAAAATAATAAGGTAAATACCAATAACATTTAAAGTATTTAAGCACATAATATTTACTAGATTTTTAAAACTAAAAGCATTTCAATACTCATATTAGCCTAAATGAAGAACTAATAAAAGACAGTATTTCCCTGCCTCCCTTCCTTTTTCCTGCTCCATTAAAAAGCAAAATTGTTGCCTCCTCTGATTTCCCATTGTTTTCAGCAACTTTCAGTTCTCCTGAATGTCTTGTTCTTCTTTTTCTACTAATTGAAAGTTACCGATTATTTGGGTTATAGCACTATAATACACAATGCTACCAAAATCAAATCCAATGCGGTGTTCACTCTTTTCCTTGATTTCTTCTGAAACCTCAAGGCAGTTGGAGGCTGTTGTCAGAAATGTTGTTTTATTTTTAACCACTTATAAATTACCCCGTATTCTCTACTTATAAAAAAATTGACTATTGCCTCATCACTATTTAATATTAATTTTAAGTTTTTTTAAGTATTATACAAACTATTTTTATCAAAATAATTTTATTAACTAAGTATAAAATTAAGGTATTGCCTCCCTACTACTAAGAACTGTTCATAGACATTCTTACCATTCTGTCACTAACTTTCTAGGCAAAAGCACTCTAATTTCGATAGATGGAAAATCAGTAGCTCTTATTCAAATGTAAATGTAGCAACTTACAATTGCTCTAAGCTTACACCTACTATTAACTTTCTTTTCTTTGGAGAAAATGTTTAAAAAACATTTTAAAATATTTGTCTCATAAAAGCATAAGTATAATGATTACAGTGCATAGTCAAATTTAACCTATTCATTTCCTGACATGATTTTGTGTAGATTTACATATGTCTACATGATTACAGTATTTAAAAAACATCATACCTGGCGTCTTTTCAAATAGTCAAGTGCAATTTGTACATTCTGCAGTCTGTGAAAACGCATCCGACCTTTTTCTCTGGGCTAAGAATAGAAAAATGCAGAGTATAAAAACACTAGTTTCTGATACCACTGACCATGCTAAATATGCCATATAAATATACTTTATACTCATCTCAACATGTCAAAGCAGTATTTACTGTTTGGGTAAATGCATTACAGTTTTTAAAGGGAGTTCTAATTTTCCTGTATTATCTGGGATTGAATTTAAACCAGTAGGGATTTTTCCAAATGTGTTTTATCTAAACAGATGCTTGATTCCAATGTTTTATTTAAACAAAGGAAAAGAGAAAATAACATAGAACATATAGACTTCTCATATTCACTAAGCTACACTTCTAGCCTATCGTGATTAAGCTATGGAAGCACAAGAATAATTAAATACCATTTTCCCTTCTCAATAAACTTCATTATCAAGATGATTCTTATAATTATATATGTATGGCATGTAAATGAAAATGAGGTAAAGTAGCATGCAATTAGTATAAAAAAGTCACCAAGAAGGAGAAAGATAGTGGAGTTTTACTTAACCATGACAGAGGAAGAGAGAAAAGCAATAAAAACCATATAATATATTTCCTCTTTATTTTATTTTAGTGTTTTTCACAAAATCGGTTGGACTCTATCAGAGTTTCCCACTGCTTAGGGATGGACATGACTATTTACTCTCTCAGGAAAGCTCACAAACTATAATTCCTTTCCTTGATGTGTTTCCCTTTAGAAATGCTGCGAGTTGGCAAGAGGAAAACAAGGAAACGGAGCTGGGGAAATGCTTAACAAAAATACAAAGAACGGAGCTGAAATGTACCGCATCATATCTTCCAAAGGGAAAAAAAGAAAACGGACAGCTTAGCGTCCCAAATATAAATAGGTTGCTGAAGCCAAAGGCACCATAATAAAATAGACAGCAGACTACAGAATGGAAAATTAGGTTCTATATAACAGGTAGGAATGATGTTGGCGAATTCACCCATGGGATCCAAAAAAAAAAGCACAATTTCTGATGAAATCAGGGGGCACTAGGGATGTAGATGGCCAAAAAATGTATCAGTCTTGCAAAGGTGGGCTGCAGTCAACAAGGTGTCTCAGAGATGAAGCAGCTCTGTGAGTTCTGTCAGGGCTCTAGATTTAAAAAACTTGCCCCATTCTAAATAAAATCAGAGACAGAAGGTAGGTAAAGAATGTCCATCAAATACCCACTGCCAACAGGCATGATTTAAAGTATAAACTTAAATATTAAATACATTTCCAGAAGTTCCTTCAAACAAAGCAATAAATAGTTGCTTTGAAATATATATTTGAAATATAAATTCCAGAAGCAGAATAACTTTGCATAAAAATTAGCAGGCTAGTTGTCAAGATGCCTGTAACGATATAAAATCCTTTAGCTAAAATGCCATCTTATCCCATAAGTGCTTATGTTCGATTACCATGCAGTGCACAGTAATCTAAAAATAAATGTAAAGAGAAAATATTTCCTTTGTCCAACGTCTTGGTACACACACATCCACCTCACTGTGGGTTTTGGTCCTTTCTATGGTTTTCTAAAAAGGAGCCCGAACCCGTGGGTTACTTGTCTATGACGTTAGCGCTCACCGCACTGTAACGGCTAGGTTAGTCGAGTTATGGGGGCCGACACCTACCCCCTTATCCTCATCCTCCACATCCTCATGCTGTTCATATTCGCATGCTTCTGTTGCACTCACCAATCGTAAGGTCTTCAAAAAATCTCGCTCCCTTGGCTAATGAATATAACAGACAGAAGATAGGACAGCAAAGACACCAGACAGACCAGAAATGAAAAGAAGAGCATGAACAGAACATAATGAAGGAGAACAGGTAACCAAGAAGGGGGAAGTAATGTTCACAACAAAAGGAAATGACACCTGCGGAGTGGGTTAGACCATTTTTCGGAAAGCGATGTTTCTTTCCTTGCTATTTGTGAGTCTTTTAATATGTGGTTATATTACGCATCCAACTTCTGCTAAGCAAAAAAACCCAAAGGTAAAACACAAAAAAAAGCAAGAACAAAAAGTAATTTAATCATAGAACTGATTATATAAGCAAGGTAATCAAAGTGCTTCTATCTCCCAAAGTCACATCATTCAAAGTCTGAAAATGCTTAGGAATCCAACCCGAACTCCTTTTTTTTTTTTTTCCAGGCAGAAATTGCAGCTCAAAAGATGAATGCTGTAAAATTCTGAACAGTCTGTGCTGAAAACATCCTAGTCATATGCACATGTTCTTCAAAATAAATTAAGAAATATACAACTTACCAAGGTGTCTCCCGAAAGAACCTCTAAGAGAGAGATCAAGTTGTGTCCATCCCTTAAGTCTTCATAGAGATCATTCACATGTTTTCGAACCTACACAGAGAACAGCAATTAAACGTTTGGTCCTAGAACCCTGGGTCATTCTTAATACTCAAAGAAGAAAGGGGACAAAGTAAAACACATTTCTTCGGTGGTATTCGTTCATGCAGCGATTTTTAAAATTTTTATTCTCTTACTACTTAAAAACAAAATTTAAATTGAAAACCAAAACACTAAAACTGTAATTTTCAGATTAGTAACCCATGAAGACAAACAGAATGATTGCATGTTTGAACACACTATATAAACATAAGCCTGGACAACCACATGGAGTTAAAGTTTTTAAAAATACAGGTGATGCCCTGACCTTCATGACTCCCTGATACAGCAACTGGAGTCAACTTTTTCCCCCTGTTGGTCTTGCTACTCTCTGGGCCACAAGATCTGGATGCCAGAAATACAAACTCCACAGATTAAAAATCCTCAGATATAAGCTGAGTAAAGGGTACTATTTTTTAAGTATGTTTTTATTGTTTTTTGTTTGTGTTTTTTTTTTTTACAGAGAGAGAGGAAGGGAGAGAGAGATGGAAACATCGATGTGAGAAACACTGTTGGCTGCCTCCTACATGCCCCCAGCTGGGGATCAAGCCCACAACCCCAGTATGTGCCCCAACCGGGAATCGAACCAGGACCTCTCGGTCCATGGGACAACACTCAATCTATCCACTGAGCCACACTGGCCAGGCAAGCGTACTATTTTTGAAAGCTTCCGTGAGTCTGTATTCATTTCAAAATAAAAAGTTTTATAAAAATTCACAGCCTGGCCGGTTTGGTTCAGCGGTTAGAGCGTCAGCCTGTGGTCCAGAGAGACCCGGGTTCAGTTCCCGCCAAGGGCATGTACCTCGATTGCGGTTTGTCCCCGGCCCTGGTTGGTCGTGCGGGTGGCAGCCACTCGATGTGTCCCTTTCACGTCGATGTTTCTCTCTCTCTTCCTCTTTCTCCCTCCCACTCTATCTGAACAAAAAATGGAAAGAAATGTCCTCGGGTGAGGATAAAAAAAAATTCACAGATATGAGGCTAGAAAACCTCTGCTCAAACCCTCCCCTACACCACGGAAACCTTGCGGTGGTGGAGGGTTATCAGAACCACGTTATCACTAGCACCAAGCTAACCCTCAACCAGGAGTAGCTTCTTCCTCCGTTCCACCAGGCGGATTTAAGCTTGTGATTTTAGAACTCAAACCATCCAAGATTCCCCAAAACCTCGGTTCAGCCTGCCAAGTAGGGGTCTCTCCTGTCAGTGCTTGGCCTCCTGAGCCCACATGCCCCACCCACGTCCCGTGAGAGTCACATCACACTCCTCGCTCCACTTCTAAGTCCTTCCCACCCCAGGACAGTGAAGCTAGAGTGTGATTCTGAACACTTATTTCACAGGGCAGCTATTTCACAGCTTGCTTTGCCAGATTGAGCGAAACCTCCCACATCAGGGAAACTTTCCCAAGTGAAGTGTCATTTTCCTCCATATTTACGCAACAATAAAATTAAATTAGGCATGTTTTTAAAAAGAAAAACAGTAATATTATACCATCAAAACTTAGAAAAAGAGAAAGCACGTTTAAGGGAAAATTAGTTCGGAGACGTGCATTTTAGTGTCGCTTCTACCAAGTCCACAAACTAGCACCGGCTGCCTGTACTCGCCGGGCCTAAATTTTCTCATTTGCAAAATCACAATTGGAAAGTATAAGGCCTCTGTTCCAACTAGAAAACAAACATTCTATGACCTGAAAATAAAGTTTTCATCTTTTCAAAATTCAGTGTGTCAAATTAGAAGGAAATACGTCAAACAGAAAGCTGTTCTGAAGCTTTCGGCCTAGTTAATTTCTTAGGAATCTGGGGGGCAGGGCAGAAATGGACGAACACGCAATGCTCGAAAAACTTCTGAGTCTTTGCTTGTGATGTGATACTAGCTATTTTTCCTGTCTGGGGCGATTATTCTGAAGGTCTACAAAAATGCTGTATATGAAAAAGGCTACATAAATATAAGATGTTGTCATCTTTATTGTTCTATGAAAAACAAATGTCAGCATCATTGACAATAATAAACGAAAACACACACGATAAGTTGATTCTAGGTACTTGACCATGTGCTAAGACCTTTTTGAATCTTGGCTCATTCTCCTCACCACAAAAGAATGAGATAAAAGAGAATGCTCATTAAAAAATAACAAATCACCCTGGCCGGTTTGGCTCCGCGGTTAGAGCGTCGGCCCGCAGACCGGGGAGTCCTGGGTTCGGTTCCCGCTAAGGCAGTGGTCCTCGACCTTCCTAATGCCGCGACCCTTTAATACAGTTCCTCATGTTGTGGTGACCCCCCAACCATAAAATTATTTTTGTTGCTACTTTATAACTGTAATTTTGCTACTGTTATGAATTGCCATCGGAAATATGTGTTTTCCAATGGTCTTAGGCGACCCCTGTAAAAGGGTCATTCGACCCCCAAAAGGGTCGCGACCCGCAGGTTGAGAACTGCTGCACTAAGGGCACGCACCTCAGTTGCAGTTTTTCCCAGGCCCCGGTTGGAGTTGAGCAGGTGGCAACCAATCCGTGTCTCTCTCACATCGATGTTTCTTCTCTCTCTTCCTCCCTCTCTCCCTCCCGCTCTATCTGAAGATAAATGCAAAAATATCCTCGGGTGAGGATAAAAAAAAAATTACAAATCAACATTATAGGGAAAGAGTGCTGGCAGATGTACTGAGAGGAAAAAACTGGGATTCTGGAGAAATATCTGAAATTTAGGAGAAATACAAAAAGGAATTAAATAGTTAGGTTGACACACAAAAGTTTTCTACATTGTCCTGGGTCTGAGTCACAGACATCTGGCCTGGTAACTTTCCTTCACAAATGACTACACTAACTGCCAATAATCGTAACCTTCTGCTTTCAATTTTTAATAAAACAGCCTTTCATCTTATTTTGGACATTTTCTCCCTGTGGAACAAAACGCTGTCTGAATAAATAGTGCTAGAGGAAGTGATAAGCAAAGTAAAAGCACTCTGAGATATCCTGGGATTAAATTATATAATGTGAATTACATAAGAAGGAGGAAGCATCGTTTTCTGTATTTCACACAATTCTCCCAGAACTTTGCAGTGCTTTTAAAAATGTGCGCACTGCGCCCGCAGTTTACCCCTAGAGGGCACTAATCCTTTGCTGAAGAAGAGCATCCTAAGGAAAGAAAAGGAAGGATGCAGAAGACAAGGGTGAGGGCTGGCGGGAGAGAGATTCCAAACCAGGTACCAGTGATAATGAAAGAGGCAACACATATTTTAAGTGTATTTTTGAAAGAGAATAGAATAGATTATGCCAGGTCTGCATCATTTAAATGACTTAACTAATGAAAAATATTACTCTAAAATTTTTATTGTGTTAACTTGTCACTGTTTTGTTTTATGTGGGCTAATTTAACTTTAAAGATGAGATCATTGTCTAGCTAGTTATTTAATGTTTAAAATGGACTTTTTTCAGCCCAGTTGGTGTGACTCAGTGGTTGAGCATCAACCCATGCGCCAAGAGGTCACTGGTTTGATTCTGGGTCACAGCACATGCTCAGGTTGTGGGCCCAATCCCCAGTGGGGGCATGCAGGAGGTGGCCAATCGATGTTCTCTCTCATCAATGTTTCTATCTCTCTCTCCCTCTCCCTTCCTCTCTCTCTCTTTAAAGTCAATAAAGAACAAACAGTTAAATAAATACATAAATAAAATGGCCTTTTTCAAAAGTCTGACTTTGTAGTGGTTGATGTTACTCCAGACAAATTCGACAAAAGTTTTACTTTCCACATTTAAACATATTGCTACCGTATACGTGCTGTACAACTCAGGTCACTAAACAGATTTTGAGCATCCACTATATGTCAGGGAATTATTTAACTTCTAAGGGTACAAAGATGGAATAATAAGAGAGTGTCACCTCTTGAGGCTTGCAGTCGAAGACGGTAGAAATTTAGAGAGAAATTTTCAGTATAGAGCAGGCTCAGAGAGCCCTGAGCGCTTTAATCACGTCCTCCCAGCTAAGATATGGAAAGGTGCCAGGTGAACGGAAGAACAGGAACAAAGGAAAAAGGCAAGGATGCATGCAACTGTAGGATGAGTCCCAGGGAAGGAAAGCAGGTCGTGAAACCAATGAAATGGGAGGTAGAAGGGAGGTAGGGAAGGTGGGCCAGGAGACATGGCAGCTTTACATGTCATTTCAAAAAGCTTAGACTAAGCAAAGAGAACCACTGAAGGCTTTTAAGCAGAATGAAGACATAGCATCTCTGACCAACATATGACCTTGTAAACTATTATGTTGAGCAAACCCAAATCACAATAAAGTTGCTGAGGGCTCAATCTGTGTGCAGTAATGGAGGAAAGGTCCCTCAGGATAAAGCAACCTACAGAGAATGTTTATGGGTAAAATGCACGAATCCCAGCACAGCAGCAAGAAGGAAAATAGCAGGGAGGATTCAGTCCGCTCTTAAAGGAATCTTAGATCTAAAGGATACAGTATTCTGGAAAACAACTGGCTATCTTTAGAAAGGAACATCAATAATGAAAGAAGGCTTGTCCCCAGTGAGATCATCTCTTTGCCTTGCTGGAATTGGGTAAAGAGAAAGGGGACAGTCAGCTTCAGTGAAAATGAATTAAAATGATTTCAATGCCATTTTTTGCTTCAAACAAATACATTTGTGAACAATAAATTACCAAATTATCTTGGGAGAATGCCTCAATAGTTCTACTTCAAAAAAATAAAAATAATCTATCAATATATCACCATTATCAATTATCATCAAGTAAACTGATGCTTTTAAAATACACAGAAATGCTTAAAAACAATGTATTAAATAGTTAACTTATCTGAACAGTTTTATATATTACATGTTTATTTCAGTATTATTTCTTTAAGACTTATGAAAAAATAAAAGTACTGTACAGCTCAAATTCTACTTAAATTACTATAAACTCTATACTGGTGCAAGTAATTATATTGGGGAAACATCCTTATAGAATGTAATAAAA